CAATAGCTGGCTTGAAAATGAACCTTTGGTAAATTCCACAGACGAGAACATAGATTCGGTAAGCGTTGTGTTGCGACCTGCATGAGGGTAAATAATATTTTTATCACCTTCAGGGATATGCCCCTCTGAATTGTACTCGATGTAGCATTGGTCCAATGGTTGCACAAGTGTCGGCTGTATGTGTTGCATAGTGTGTCCGTTTCCAGATCGGTCAAATGACACTCCATCCATAGTGGTCGACCGGCGATCAACATCTGTCGATGCCCCGATATCATTACTATTGAACCCATACCGAGCCACGTCGACGGAACGAAACCTGTATTGTTTCCCGTTTCCATCGCGTGGAAATGCCTGCATGAGCTCGACGAGCCTCGTTGTGTTCAACTGCCAAGTCACACTCTGCATCACCACCCATGAGTCACTAAGTAGTGTGACCCGAATTTTGCCCACATTTTCTATGCGTCCCTCCTCTTCGATGAGCATGTTCGTTTCGACCCCACCGAGCAACTGCATGGTGATTTTTTTCACTAGGAAGACAGCGTCAGGGTACTCAGTGTGGTCTACCTCCAACACAAACTGCGTTTTGAAACGCTCAGCAATGCAACCCTGGTCTGAAACGAACAACCCTAGTGGACAGGCACACTCGAATGTGAGCACACCACTGCTTGCCAGTGCGTCAAAGTTGACACATGAGACACCCCCATCATGAAGCACACAGCCATCGGTACCTTCCGCACATTCGTCGATATCTTCGAGTTCACAATCACTTTCACGGTAACGCACCCCATCGAACGGCGTCTCACGATCGTGGCAGCGCGTACACATTGATGTTTTTGAGAGCGAACCACCCAGTCGACAGCACGTAGAGGGATGACCTAACAGGCTCTCTGGGAGGTCAATGATGACCTCTGCCGATGGGCAGAAGAATTGAGGTTCAACCAAACACACAGGACTACATCCGTCACCACCAATGATGTTTCCGTCGTCACATTCCTCTACGAGAGGAAGCAAAATGCCATCCCCACACACATCCCTGATCCCATGATACACGTCAAGCGTGAAATTCATAACCGTTTGTCCACCCAAGCACACCATGTCACACCCAACACCCCATTGTTTGTTCATGTAAACGCATGACATGTCTTCAGTGGCGAGGAGTCCCACAACCTCCGTGTCGTACGCGACCATGGACCAAAAGTCGATATTTTGGGGCACGCATTCGGCCCGCCCCTTAGCCGGTTGGAAAAATCTGAATGTACACGGAAGACAGCTCTCGGAACCAGTTGCAATATTGAAAGGGTTGTACGTGTTCTCTGGACACGCCTCACAGCCGAGGGTATCATTGATGAAGTAACCAGCTTTACACACACACACGTCGGTGTTATTAGAAACGGTGCCATTTGAAACTGTAGTTAGACCAACGTCACATGCGAGACATGCTTGGTCCCCCTCCCAACCTTTGTATGTACCCAGAGAACACGGGATACACGCATCCCCAGATAGGAACATCCCTTCCGCACAGATACAATAGGTTCGAACGTCAACAGGCCTGCTCAATGAGTCCCTCGGACACTGGACACACGTGTCCCCTGAAGCTCTCTTCCCAAGGTCACATATCCAACCTAATCGAGTTTCATTTGGCCAGTTTGTTGATCCGGTCGGACACTGTGTACAGTTATCATCTCCAAGTACCGCCTTGAACGTACCAGCCGGGCATAATTCGCACATATTATCTTCTGTTGGAAAGTAATCGGGTTTACACACACAAGTCGAGCTATCCACCACATGGATCTTATTACCCGGACACAGACATGCGGTACGGTCTGTGTTGCTGAACGTACCAGTCGTACACGGTGTGCAAAAAGAAGCACTAGAAGTCTGTGACATATAACCCGACGGACAAACGCTACAGGTCCCATTCCAGGTCCCAGTCCCGTCACTCAATTCGAAGGTACCGGGTGCACACACGACACACTGCAAATCTCTACCACGTGCCAGGACCCGAACCCCAGGACACGTACATTTGGTACGATCACTGGAGCTGTGCTCACCGGGTGGACACATTTCACAATATCCGTTACCAATGTCAGACTTGTTTGAATATGGTCCACACTCCACACATGTGGCCATGCCAGAAGAAATGTCATCAAATGGCTCAAATCCTGGGCCACACACACAGCCCAACTGTTCGTCTGAGGTAATCACTGGCTCAAATCCATCCATGCATTCACACCGACCTGCTACCCCTTTCTGATACTTAGGGCAGAGAACACACTCGATTCTAGGCGTATTCACCACATCGTGTGGGTACACTTGGGCTTGCGCTCTGACGGACCTACTGACCCCTTCAATCATATTCTCAGGGCATACACATATACCTTTCTCTGGGCTCCACACGGAGGACAAAGTGCAGGGTATGCATTCATCAGCAGTATCACACAGTGTCACGAAACTAGGAGACGCTAGTTCTAAAAGCATCCCCCCTTCGGGCACGGTTAATCTGTTCGGAGAGACATGCACCACGGTCATTAGTCGATGTTCTGGATCCATCTTGTTGCTACTAATGGTGACCGAATGCCACCCGTTCAGAACTGGATCACCCCCAGACTCAACGTCTGCAAAGTAGATAATGTAAAGATATCTCCCCTCGCTTTTGAACCTCTCCCAACACGGTTTGATTGGTTTGGGATACAGTGGACACTCCACACGCAGTTCATGAGTCTGGCGATGTTGTGGCTTGATCAAGTTTTGTCCTGACACACCATGCAATCCACAAAATAAGGTAATGGTGAATACACAAAATGACCACATCTCGACAAGATGTATCTCGCTGAGCAGTTGCCAATCTAACTGTTAAATAGCTCGACACACAGCAGAGGAGCCATCATTGCGGTTATCTCGATGTATTCAAAAAACTTCCACACGAGTCCCTACCCAACATGGCCGATGGTCTGAGGAAGTGTCTCACTGACTTCGTCCATCTGAAGAAAGGCCTCCGAGGGTATAGGTGGCAACGGTTGCCAGGTAGTCGTGTTATCGGCGACCTGTTCCGGGAGACTCATGGTCAAATTTCATCCTATTCAGGTGCGTGTGTACCAGCACGATAACCATAACCAAGTTGTCTGCTATGGGATTCTTTACCAGCGGAAGGTCTTCATTGGTTCTGTCGAATCGGGTCAAATATGGATACAATTCGACGACATTCTCGGAATAAAAGACATGTGGATACTGGATACGGCCATTGTGTCAGTGGATATTGTAGCACGTGGGCGCGAGCATTGTACAGGCATATTCAACAAATGTGTTTGAATGGGTTGCGGAGGATACCACAAACGGATATTCGAAGGCGTACCCCCCCCATGGCAATTCACGCATGGGACGCATCTGGGGTTCTGAAAAAAAAATCGGGACGAATTCTGGACGATCCTGGACGAATTCTGGATCGAGATTTCCCACACCACCCTTGCCACCCCACATGCTCTGAATTTCTATCATCCGTCGCAAGTGATCCATCCTGATACGAATCGAGCAGATCTCGAAGACATGTTTCTCGGTGGCAAGCAGCTTCCTCGTACCCGGCAGCAGTGTGCCATTCACATCTGTGATAACCTTTTTTTAAAATTCATGCGTTTCCTGAAGTATCGCAAGCTGTTCACGTTCCCGCGTATTTTCTGCGATAGTCATGTAGCGTTTCATCTTGGTCACAACGTCGATCGAAGAGATTGCACACATCCCCCAAAAGTGCCCAGCGTCGGTCGAAGTTGTGACCCGGTCCAACTGTGGTTCGTCCATGGTCGTGTCTAGCGCGACCTCGCGTGATACAAAAACCCAGGCTAAATTATAGTCTGTGTTTGAAGTTGCCAAAAAAAATAACACGTGTCACTGGCAAAAACATGTCTGTACATATAAAACGTGGATATGCATATGAAACGTGAAATCAAGAAAGACCATGGAACAGAAGGCACCAAAGGTGGTGGGTGTCAACAAAGTCACCATCAGACAGGCGCAATTCTTTTGGTTGGGACAGCTCATACTCGAGACGGTACAAGACGCGTCAGTACATGAACACGACCCATGTGGCTGCCATCTGCCAGTCCGCAAGGAACTCTACGACACCATGTTGAGCGATGACGATTCACGGTTTTGGGAGGTAGTAAATGCAGAAGATGATCAGCTCCCATCAGACGAAACGCATTACAAGAACAAGCTCTGTGCAAACAGTCTGCATGTCGCAGATGCCTATCCCGGCTATAGCCAACCTTTCATGTCGGTGTACTCCAACCCATTCGTCCATGCCGCATAGACCATGGAGAGTTATTAAAACGAAGTGACTCGATGTGTGTACCGTGCCATACAAGATATATGGCACATCATGGACCGTCACCTATCCCGGTGTTCCGTATCACCTTGGGGTGTGCATTAATCTTAGTGATCGGTCTGTCTTCTCTGCGTGACAGTTTTTCATGCCATCTATCGGTACATGGTGAACTGGTCGATTGTTCTGGCGGGCCAGAGTTCTCTCAGACGGTGACTGCAGAGACAGGGTTTTTCCAGAAACTCGTAACCACAGGACATGAGCATGCGTGTGCCATTCGGCACCGTACAGGTCGTGTTGTGTGTTGGAGCACCGTAGCGAGTGTTGGTGAGAAGATCAATGTCCCCGATTTTGTGGTAAACGCAAGATCTATTTCACTGGGAATGAACCATTCCTGTGCAATCTGGGGGTCCAAAAATACGCTCACTTGCTGGGGTTCTGATCCACTGATCACTACAGTCTCACCCGTCAATGTATCCCGAGGTGTGCGTATGCTCGCCGCAGGCCACCCTGGATCACGCCATACATGTTTTCTGCGTGAGAGTACGAATGACGTGTCTTGCTTCGGCTCGAACAAGTTTGGTCAACTTGGTCTGGGAGCATACGGAGCGGACATTGGCTCTGTACCCGCCCAAAAAAATCGTCCAGATTGACGCAGCAAAAAAACAAAAATACCAAACAAAAATACCCGTTGCGGGGTTCGAACCCGCGACCAATTCGTTAAAAGCGAATCGCTCTATGCCACTGAGCTAAACGGGTGAGAAATCTGGCGTGAGTTCCACCACGGTGGGGGTGCCTTGCGTAAGATTTATTTAATATCATGCCCACTTCTCAATCACACGTGTCCCCCGCTGCGGAACGATGCCCCCGCTAAGATAGGGCTCCAACATGTAGTTCAATCTTTTCTGCTGGCCCACACGTTCCCACCTCATTGACGAACTCGAAAGGGTGATAATCTTCACTGCTGCCTGGCGTGTGGTTTCAAACTCCCCGCGTGCGAAGTGCATTCCCATCAATTCCCAAATAATGTCAATTTTCTTATCCGATGCATTGGGAGGTCGGCAGATTTTCTGATGGCCTGGCCACGCAGAGGCCTGACATGCAGAGGAACAGTACCGGGCATGGCTACAGCCACTACAGCGCATCGTCTTGACATCGTTTTTCTTACATTGGCTGCAGCCAATTACCGATGCAATAGGAACCGGGGTCGATTTTGTGTACGGACAGAAGGTCCGGTAACTTGGTATAAGATCCCTGTAGAATTCTTTGCTCAGGACACCATCGTTGTAATGTGTCCACGACATTCCGGCCTGCACAAATTTCAATTCGGTGTCGATGTTGTCCATACAATTCTCACTGTGCACCCATTCTCCTTTTGCTTCGATGATACCATGTTCGTCCCTGTCCATACGCCCTGTAACCGACACTTTCTGCATTGGTCTGAAATACACATGTATTTGAGGCCAACACGTGTAACTGCGTATATCGGGAAGGGAAATAAAATCACGCTACTACATAAGCTTTAAATTTCATCTAAATCAATATGCAGTGTGATGCGAAAAACCACTTGCCTTAATAGCTCAGTGGTACAAAACCAATATTTTTAACGCAAAGGTTTCCAGTTCGAATCCCAGGTGGGTCCAACAATTAACCAATGCAACTTGGGGGATTTTCCCCGCTCTCCCATCTCTCCGATTTGGGCGCACTCGCTCCTTTTTGTTTTTTTTGCATGTGTGAGGTGAGGTGGTCCGAGAGTCGGGTGGGTTCTGTTTTTTGTCCTTATTTATTCTATTTCTTCCTACATTCAGCACCAACCGCCAGCTCGACCGTGTAGAACCCCACAGGCAGCCGTGACACCGCATCATGCTCGTACATGAGGAAACGTATCATCCCCCCGTCCTCAAGGGACGTCGTCATGTGGCCTTCAGCTAGACTGGCGATAACCGTCGCCCCCTCACTCGACTTGGGCACACCCGCCTTTCGGACCACGAGCTGAATGGAGACCGAGCAGCCGGGCTTCGGGAAAATCTTGTCACCAATCTGCGCTACGACTTGCACGCCGATCGCATCCATGGTGGAGGCGGGGTCCTTGACGTGCACGAGCAGCTCGAACGACATGGGACCGGCGGTAGTGGCACAGACCTGTCAGGAAACGCTACGCGGGTGAGACTTGAGGGTGACAGGAGCGGAACCGGGCAAGAGCGGGGCCGGGCAAGAGCGGGGCCGGGCAAGAGCGGGGCCGGGCAAGAGCGGGGCCGGGCAAGAGCGGGGCCGGGCAAGAGCGGG